AGACCTGGGTCTTCAAATACCAGAGTCTATTTGGTTGACCTCTATTAATATGTACAAAGGCCTAACCTTATGCGCATCTCACATAGAATTGTCACATAGATATTTCACATCCTCATAGCAACACTGCACCTCATTGCCAAGAACTGGCTTTCCCCAACAAAGTTTTCAATGCAAGAACTAATCAGACACATCTCCTTAGTCGTAAGATATGAATCAACTATAACTCGGGTACCCACCCGTAATAATTGGAGACGTGACGTTTGGAAAAATTGGGCCCTGAAACATCCAACCTGAACATACCCATTTGCAGACACCCTTGTATCACACTAGCCCCATCATGCCAAACCCAACAGTCAACCTCAATACCTATGCTTTGACTCACTGATCCTGGATGCTCGATTTCTGAATTTGATATCTGACCTCCAGGCTGGGGACCCCACTCACTCCGCTACCCTCCCACCCCAGACATAGACCCCACTTACTCCGCTACCCCCCCAGACACATACCCCATTCCCCACCCCACTTAAGTTTCCCCCCCATAAGTTTCCCCCCTTATCTGTACTACCCCTATCAAGGGATAAAAGCACAAACTAACTTAGAGTAATCGAATAAAGTGTACACTGAAATTCTGAAAATTGCAAACGTGATGCATTGATCATACACCAAAGCAACCACCTTAAATCCAAGGACACAGGTACCAACCTTACCCACACAAGAGTTATCAGAGATAAGAGGTAACCTGGACACATACCTATGGCCTGCTGCCAGAACTATCCCATAATCTACACAATAGGTTTATGCAGTGCTATATCCTAGTAAAGGAAACATTACAGCCCGTTAGGGCGGCCTTTGCAACCTTAGCTCATGTTTAAAAAAACTATGATATGTTATGTGAAAATCTATTCTTTACCACCTCATTATCTAATGCATCCTCACAAGAAGTGACCATAAATACTTATTGATGTACAGCATGCAACAATGATACTGAATGTGAGAATATGTTTGTTTTACCCCCTCCCACCTTTCTCTTTTCTGTACCCCCAGAAAAATAAAAACTGTAGGTGCAGAAGGTGCAGTATCCAGCTTACACTATTTAAAGTTCCATTTTGGCTACTTGAATTTGAAATCCACTTTTTTTTTATATAATTCTTTATTTTTCTTGTGCATTTGGATACATACATGCTTGCAGTGCCACGACAGCGACTGTGAGCAATATCAAAACTTTCAGTGGCATATCTGAGGAGTTGCACATTTAATATTTATAAAGTATAATATGCTAACAATCGATAAGTTAACTACACGCAATAAGTACACATGTTGTAGCAGGGTAATAATAATAGCCGTAGAGTGGCCAATATGTACTAAAAATACGCTCCTGATAATAGCTTTGGAGAGGTCTTATGATACCTGGCGTGTGTCAAGCTAGTTGGTGTTGTCTGCTCTGTTAGGATGTGTGCTGGGGGTAAATCCGCCTATGTTTCAATCAGCTGTTCCTAGAGGTGTTGAGCTCAATGCAGTGTATCGTTCTACGGTGTTCTCTTCCCTCTGTTTTCGTTAGGTAATTATATAGCTTCGGAGGTATCTAGGTACTGGGTGTGCTGTAGCCCCATCTGTCTTCCGTTTAGGGTGATGTGCCATCTTGTTTCCGCTTAGGGCAGATGGGGGGGGAGTGGGGTAAGTAACCCGACTGGAAGCGTTCTTATGTGTGTCTTCCAGGTATGGAGCTAGTAACATTTAAGGTACGTGAACGATTAGAAACACAACGATAAGCAAAAAGAAGTAAAAGTTAACAGGTTAGGCAAAATGGCTAAATTATTTAGAGAGTCACAAGGAGTTAGTTCAAACAGTCCCGGCCAATATTTTGTTGCGGCTTTCACAGCCCTTAGATCTTTCACGTCGGGTTGTCAGCCGGGGAGCCGAGTCCGGACCGTCGCGGAACAAAAGTTTTCACCCTTTCCGGGTTCCACCTGTGCTGTGGGTTGGAGGTTGTCATGGGACATATGGCATCTAAAGGTAGTCCCAGTATGGGTAGCAAGTCCTGCGCTCCCTGGAGGTCGTGAATCTCATGGGTGTTCCCGCTATGTGTCACCAGCAGGGAGCGGTTGAGGCGCCATCGGTATGTTATGCTTTGTTGCTGAAGTAGTGTTGTAAGTGGCTTAAGCGACCGTCTCCAGGCCAAGGTACTGCCGGACAAGTCCGTGAAGAAGGAGAGGGACACGGTTTCGAAGGGGTACTGGGGAAGGTTTTTGACCGCTGCCATGATTGCGGCTCTGTCTTCCTTGCGCTGGAAGCGGAGTATAATGTCCCTGGTAGCCGCTGGTGGGGCTTTGGTCGGTTTGGGAACTCTGTGGACTCCGTCCAGGCTTATTGCTTTGGCTTTCCGTGCTGGTAGCAGCGCTGCCAGGAGCCTCCGCGCGAAGTGCGGCAGTTCCTCTGCCGGCATGTCGTCTGGTACTCCCCGTACCTTTATATTGGTTGCTCTGCGTGTGTCTTCCAGTGTGGTGAACTGCCGCTCAAAAGCCTCTGTTTTATTCTGCAGACCCCTTATCTCCGATTGCATGGTGGCGATATGGGTAGCCGTGGTGGCGGTGCCCAGTCTCCCGGTTATTCCCTGGAGGTCTGTGTGGAGGCCCGCCATTTCTGCCTGGATCGTGGTCTGTAGGCCTGCCAGTAATGCCTTGAGCACCGCTGTGGTGACTGGTGCGTTATCTGGGTCTGGTGGTGTGGCTTTGGCTGCTGGTGGACTGGGAGAGTGATGTGTGTCTTCACCTTGGGAGAAGTCATCCGACAAGTCGGAGTAAGTCTCTGGGTATTCGGCCATCTTGGGCCCAGCCGCTCCGTGGGCCTGTTGCCACATGGCTACAATATCGAGGCCAAGTCTGGGCTGGTCGGGCTTTTTTGCTTTTCCATCCCATGTCGTTTCCCCTGTTATTGCCTGGGATTTGAGGCTGTTTTGGACGTTTTTGGTCGTTTGGTTTGGGTGTTTTGGCATGAAATTGCAGGAGCTACAATGCCATGCGACTTCTCTGCTCTGCAGCTTGGCTCCGCCCCCCTTGAAATCCACTTTTAATCACCAATTTAGTGGTTATTTCTCTGCTGTGTTGAATTTTACAAGCTTTGTTTTCCTATGGCCTCTTTCTGATTCAGGCTGTGTATAGCCTTATGGAGATCACAACATCCAGTGAGGCCACAGATCTGCCAAAGAGGTATATAGGAATCCCCCTAAACCTAAAGGTCTTGGTGTGAGGAGGACAGAAAAGGGGTGTGGCCAGAGCCAGACTGAAAAAAAAAATTGAAGATTATGTAGCTTTAGTGTACAGATAATCTTAATTTTAATAATGACAGGAGGCGAGTATTTTGCATAATCTTTCTTTACTAACTCCATAGCAGCAAAGAAAAGAGTAACATAACTGAGAACCAATCACAATGCAGTATAGAGTATAAGAGGTGTAACATATGACATCATTTCCTCTTAAAGCATGCAACATCACAAGATCACAATGCAGAATAACAATAGAGATAACTCATAACATGAAAATTGAACATAAACAGATAGACTCCAAGGGAAGACTTCTTGATGTCAAGTGACGATCTTCCATGACAAGACAATGATGACATCTTGAATGGAGTCTTCAGTGTCCTGATTCATCTGGTTAAACTGAAACGAGAATATAATGGGAATTAGATTCCAAATATGGTTGTGTAAAAACAATGAGCTGTCTATCCCTTATGATTAAGTAAACCATCATTATTGAACTAGAGCGAATACATTCCTCTCATCTATTGATGCTAACTAAACCAACCCACCTACATGGCATATCTGTATTAAGTGTGAGAAAAAACTTAGGCATTAGTACAATAATAACATGGAACAAAGAGATAGAAACATGCATGAAAACAGAGGGAGGGAAGAGCGAAAGAGAGCAGGGAGGGAAAATACTCACCTCCTGTCATTATTAAAATTATCTGTACACTAAAGCTAGCATAATCTTCAATATTATCACATGACAGTACGGGTTCATATTTTGCAATTTCAACACTGAGAAAGTAGAGCAAAAGCTGGATTAGATGGGCGACGGAAGTAGAAGGTACTAAAGGTGGATTCTCTAGTCCAGTCCGCCGCTCGTAAAATATCTGGAAGGGAGGCCCCTGCCGAGTAGCCCGAAGAGGCCGTGGCCCCTCGAACTGAGTGTGCTCCAAACGCCTGGTCTATCCCAGCAAGGGCTAAGAGCCATCTAACCCATCTGGCCAACGTAGTGACCGAGACTAGAGCGGAGGGGCGGATGTAAGAGATGAGAAGTTGATGATTGGAAGTAGGCCGCAACGTCGTTGTAGCTTCCACGTATCTACGAAGAGTAGAGACCACACAGAGCTGAGGTCTGAGGGAAAAAAGGGGTAAAAAACAGAGGAAGAGTCGGACTTCGTGCGCCTAGAGACCTGGAAGTTTACTCCCGCTGGACAAAAGGTAAATGCGTCTGCATCAAAAGCGCGTACATCGGACACCCGACGAAAGAAGACTAGGCAGAGTAGGAAGGTGAATTTTGCCGTAAGCTGGCGGAGTGATAAATTCTCGTTAGGAGGCCAGTCCCGTAAAAACTGGAAGACTATGCCAACGTCCCAAAGTCTCGAGTATTTGGGCTCCGGGGGGCGCCGAAGGCGCATGCCGTGGAAGAGTCTACAGATGAGTGGGTTCTGGTCCACTGGTGTCCCTTGAGTCGGCGTATGAGCCGCTGAGATGGCTGAACATATCACATTGATGGACCGGTATGATTTCCCGGCTGTGAACAGAGAGGTGAGGAAATTCATGATGGAGGGAATAGGTGCCGTAAAGGGATTGAAATTCTGTCCCAGACACCAAGTTGTCCAGCAGTGCCATGCTGATAAGTAGCACCTCCTTGTTCCTGGTGCCCATGAATCCCATAGGAGATCCCTAGTTTCCTGCGATAAATCCTCGGTTCACCAGGAACCCCTGAAAGAGTCTAGGCCACCAGGGGGAGCCGGTCCTCCCTGACCAGCGGATGGGGTAGTCCCATCGGGTTCCTGAGAATGGTTGGAGTATCTGGTAGGAGGAGGGGATCCCTGTTCGACAGCTCCAGAAGATCCGGGAACCATGGTTGGCTTTGCCATAGAGGCGTGATGAGGGTCAGTATCACCCTCTGCATGCGGATTCGGTGAAGAACCCTCGTAATCATTGAGAATGGTGGGAATGCATAAGCCCCGTGTTGTGGCCATTGTTGAAGCCACGTTCCACGCCCTTGCGTGGGTCCCGACCCCCGCGGGACATAAATGTGGTCATAAGCGGGTCAAATTCGGGGCTGTGTGCTACCTTGTCTGGTAGACTCGGGCGAGGACATTCAGATCTCATACGCTTTCTCACTTCCTTGTCTAGAGACTTCCGGAGCCAGAAGTGCATGAATCTGGTCAAGTGTTCGGGTGGCGTCAATTCTTCCGAACGGGGATGGCGAATGTTCCTAGGATTGAACATTCGGAGGCCAGAGTTGTCCAAAAATATCTCTGAACCCTCTTGTGGGGTGTCCATGGTTGTGGCCACAGAGTCCTGGGGCTCACCCAGGATCTGTTCCTCTATGAGATAAGGGTCAGACTTGGCAGCGGAGTCCCAGTCGGATTCCTCCTGGTCGGAGGCAGCCACCTGCCATTCGTCAACCACGTCTAAAGCGTGTGATGGACCTGCATCCTCTTCCTCAGTGGAAGCCTGAGCGGGTTTTTGGGACGATCTGCTCGTGTCTCTTCTGCGTTTAGCAGGGGCCTTTCCTTTGGACTTACGTGGTCCCATGGCCTCGCCTTTCCAATGGCGCTTAGGGGGGTGGGAGCGTTCTCTGGAGGAATTGGAGTCCTCAGAATCCGCACCATAATGAGCCCGTTTGGGAATGGGCTTAGATGCATCTTGTTCCAATTGGAACGACTTAGCCAAAGCCTTTTCCATAGATGCAGCTACAGCTGCTGCAATCATGGCCTGGAGATCTGAGGGGTTTTGAGATTCTTCCATGGTGTTAATCACACTCGGGGCTCACCCGGTGAATTTGCGTGAGGGCACTTGTGGCACAAAATATGGAGAGGCCTGGGGACCAGGGGGTGGTATAGAAGTAGATAATGGTTAACCTGAGAGAGTAATGTGACTGGTAGGTCAAGTGAGGTGATGAGGGCTGTCACTGGGGCTCACCCAGGAATTCAGAATCCTGCATGGACAGGTCCGTTCAGCAGCACATGAATGGGGGCTCACTCCTGCCAGAGTAAGGATAATCCAACTGGCTGAAACTGACCCCAAGTGCAAAGCACTAACCTGATACTGGTCCCACCGTGAGCTGATAAGGATGCAGAGTTCAGGAGTGTATTCCAGAGTATCTGGCAGTAATAATTGGGTGGAGTCTGCAACAGGACAGTAGTAGCCGTTTAAAATGGCCGCCAGACTGAAGGCAGTAAAAAATGGGAGGTTTTAGTACCTCCCCTAGATGTTAGGGCGGCAAAATGAGTTACACGAACGCCGGGCGTCGAGCGCACGAATCAGCCGAACGCGAGTGTCAATATGTGGTGCGGGTGTTCGGCTAATTCGTGCGAATGCGCGCGCCTTATACAAGGTGTTTGCGGGAGTTTTGCTGAACGCTAGGCGTTCGGCAAAAGAAACAAGCCTATGCGAATGGACGGTCAGATAGTGCCATTCGCAAAGCGAAAACAACGTGCGAATGACGGTCAAAACCGTGAAGAGATCTGGCACTGGGAAGTAGAGGTAAAGACGGCGAGAATGCCGGTAAGACCTCCTGTAAAAGGGATAGGGCTAGTAAAAGCAGGTGAAAGGTCCCAGAGCCGGGGGGGGGGGGAATAGCCCCCAAAGGTAATAATAATAAAGAGATAGTAGATAATAGTTTACAAATAGATATGACATATAGTAGAGTGTAAGGACAGAGAGGAAAACCAAGTCTGTACTTATCTTGTGATGGAGCAGCAAAGAAAGAGGAAATTATGTCATACGTTACACCTCTCATACTCTATACTGCATTGTGATTTGTTCTCAGTTATGTCACTCTTTTCTTTGCTGCTATGGAGTTAGTAAAGAAAGATTATGCGAAATACGAAGCCTCCTGTCATGTGATAAAATTAGAAATCTATGAATAGATTTCTAGATAATGGTTTGTACTGGCCCCGAATATATTTGTATATTGTTATCATATCCCTGTCACGGCTCTCCGTTCTTCTGCCGGTGTGGCCGCACATAAACTAAGCGGCCATGCCGACAGAGATATTGTATACTTATATTGGTCGCGGCAAACTGCTGCCCGACCTACTTCCATTTCGGTCCACAGCGAGTATGATGTTCCTAGAGATGCCAGCTGCTGCGGTTCCGGTTATAATATGAGACTTGCCTCGCCCATACCAGAGATGGCGCCAACGTGCGTGAGACGTCACGTCATAGATGCGCATGCACGTTTTGGGGTCAGAGGTCAGAGACAACCGATTACAGCCTCAAGATGGTTATTTAAACCAAATTACATTTTGGTCAGTGCCCTGTCGTGGTTTCCCTTAGATGGTTATCCAAGAGTGTGTTCCTGATCGTGTTTTTTTGTTTTTTGACTTTGGCTTCGTTTTGACTTTCCTGATTTCTGGTACGCTTGACTTTTGGCTTCTCCTTATCGCTGTGTCTCGTTTTGTGTCCCTGACCCTGGCTAGTTTTTTTACTATTTTCGGGTACGTTAAGTCCGGCCATCTAAGGTCCTGAAAGACGTTACCCTTAGTTCTAGGGTGTGATACTATTCTGTGTGCTGGATCAATGTAATCTTGACAACCCCCTCTGAGGCGCCGTTTTTCCAAATAATTTAAATAATTTAACCTTTTTTCGTAACTAAAAAACTTCCTTTTATCAATTTTGTAGCTCGTCTCTGCACATTTTCTAGTGCCATGATATCCTTCTTTTGAACAGTTGGCCAAAATTGCACAGCATAGTCAAGGTGTGGTCTTACCAGCGATTTATAAAGAGGCAAAATTATATTTTCATCCCGAGAATTTATGCCCCTATTTATTCATGACAAAACCTTACTGGGCTTAGCAACTGCAGATTGGCATTGCATATTGCTGCCTAATTTGTTGTCTTTAACAATTCCCAGATCCTTCTCATGTGTGGTTATCCCTAATTCACTACCATTTGGGATGTAAGTTGCTTATGCATTCTTGACCCCAAAGTGCATAACTTTGCATTTCTCTACATTGAATTTAATCTGCTATTTTAGTGCCCAGTCCCCCAATCTATCTAAATCCCTCTGCAGCAAAGCAATATCCTGCTCACATTTTATTACTTTACAAAGTTTTGTGTCATCTGCAAACACTGAAACATGACTTTCAATGCCTATTTTAAGATAATTTAAAAATATGTTAAATAGAAGCGGTCCCAAAATAGAACCCTGAGGGACACCACTTACCACTTTTGTCCAGCCTAAAAATTTACCATTACTGACAACTCGTTGTACTCTATCCTTAAGCTATGTTCTACCCAAGAACAAGAATATTAATCTAGACCAATTTCTTTTAGTTTGAAGACTAACCTATTGTGAGGAACCGTATCAAATGCCTTGTCAGAATCCAAATAGTAGATCACATCCACTGCAACACCCTGATCTATGCTTCTACTTACTTCTTCATAGAATGCAATAAGATTAGTTTGATTTTTGCTAATATCAAAGTTCTTCCCAATGAATTCCTGAATGTTATCCCATAATAGCCCTTCAAATATTTTCCAGTCACAGAAGTTAAACTCACTGGTGTATAATTTCCTGGCAAGGATTTTGAACCTCATTCGTACTCTGTCTTCTTCTCTTTCTCCACCTCTCACTAAAATTCTCAATCTCTCTCTCTCCTCTGGTATATTTCCATTGCCCTTCAAACATGCAACTGTAACCCCAATTCTAAAGAAGCCCAATCTTGACCCTAACTCCCCATCCAACTATCGTCCTATCTCGCTACTGCCTTTTGCATCCAAGATCCTTGAAAACATTGTGTATGTGAGATTGACAGACTTCCTCGAGTCCAACTCTCTGCTAGACTCGCTTCAGTCTGGTTTCCGCGCTAAGCACTCTTTGGAAACGGCACTGACCAAAGTATCCAATGATCTACTCGCTGCAAAATCTCGTGGTCACTACTCTATCCTAATTCTCTTTGACTTGTCTGCGGCTTTTGACACTGTTGATCATCAACAGCTTCTTCTCATCCTCCACAATATCGGTCTACAAGATACTGCTCTCTCCTGGTGCTCCTCCTACCTCTCCCAGCGCTCTTTCAGTGTTTCTTTCTCTGGCTCTGCTTCTTCTCCCCAACTCCTCTCTGTTGGTGTCCCCCAAGGTTCAGTCCTTGGTCCCATACTGTTCTCCATCTATACTGCCTCCCTTGGTAAACTCATTAGCTCCTTTGGCTTCCAATATCATTTCTATGAAGATGACACGCAAATCTACCTGTCCTCTCCTGATCTCTCCCCGTCCCTCTTGACTAGTGTCTCTGACTGCCTCTCTGCTGTTTCTAACTGGATGGCTGCCCACTTCCTTAAACTAAATTTGACCAAAACTGAAATTCTGGTCTTTTCTCCCTCAAGTGTTGTTACTCCTGTGTCTGTCTCCCTCCAAGTCAACTGTGCTACCATCAGCTCCACCACGCAGGCTCGCTGCCTAGGTGTTCTCTTTGACTCCGACCTCTCCTTCAAGCCTCATGTTCAATCTATCTCCAAATCCTGTCATTTCCATCTCAAAAACATTGCGCGCATCCGCCCCTACTTAACGCCAAATGCGACTAAGGTGTGGGTCCATTCCACTGTCCTTTCTCTCCTTGACTACTGTAATCCGCTTCTCAGTGGTCTTACGTGCTCCCAACTAGCGCCGTTACAGTCCACAATGAATGCGGCGGCGAGGCTCATCTTCCTGTCCGCCCGCACCTCCCATGCCTCACCCTTCTGTCAGTCCCTACATTGGCTTCCTATAAAATATAGAGCTCAATTTAAAATTCTGGTTCTTGCTTTTAAATCTCTACATAATGCTGCTCCCACCTATCTATCCTCCCTTATACACAAGTATGTCCCGTCTAGACCCTTACGATCTGCTGAAGATTTACGTCTATCTTCTGTCCGTACTCCCACCTCCGATGCTCGCCTTCAAGATTTCTCGAGGGCTGCACCGTTCCTGTGGAACTCGCTTCTCTCCTCCGTTAGATGCTCACCCAGTCTCCACTCGTTAAAAAATCGTTAAAAACACACTTCTTCATAAAAGCGTATCAATTAAACTGTTAATAGCTCCTGACTGATTCCTCTTCCGCAACTGTCATTAGTCTAATACTATCCTTACCTTTTTGTGTCATTTTACCCCACTCCCTCTAGCATGTAAGCTCATTGAGCAGGGCCCTCAACCCCTCTGTTCCTGTGTGTCCAACTTGTCTGGTTACAAATACATGTCTATTCTTCCACCCATTATAAATCGCTGCAGAATTTGACGGCGCTATATAAATATCATAATAATAATAATAAATATAGGAACAACATCTGCCTTCCTCTAATCCTCTGGTACAATACCTGAAATAAAATAATCTTAAGAGATTAAATACAGAGGTTCACTTATTTCCCCACATAGCTCCTTAGGTATTCGTGGGTGAATACTGTCAGGCCCCAGAGCTTTATTTACATTAATTTTCTTTAACTGCTGTAGCACCTTGTCTCTAGTCATTCAATCACAAGTTATCTGCACGTTTTTTTGCAGCAATCATTTGCAAATCTCTTGCCATAGGATCCTCATTAATATGTAGAAATTATTAATCATGGTGACATAAGTTGTTCATTTTCACTTTGTATGTTATACATGTTAACAAAAGGCATTTAAAACCTTTTCTAATGTCAATAGAAAGTGTATAGGTAGATAGGCATTTTTTGGAGTTTAAATAAAATACTTACATTATTGCAATTTTGATCAATTTACAATAGTTTATAAGCAGAACATGTGTCAGCTGAGCTAACAACTATGCCATATTATGTTTAATAGCTTGTTGGACATCACAGCATTTGACATCTGTAGATATGTTATTCCAGGTGGAGAAGGACTAAGCCTCTCATAAAATCTGCTGTCTTCCTCGCTTATTTTCTTCCAAATCCCAGTTTGTGTCCCAATGTGGATTATTAAAGAACACATGAAAACAGAAAACAAAGTTTCTTAATTTACATTTCTTTTAATAAGTCTAATGCTGCCAGTATTTTCCACTTTGCATTTAAAGTACTATCTTGTGCTATAGATTAACAAAACAAAGGCTACAAAACATTGGTGAAAGAAACATGTTTACGTTAATTCTTAAGGCCGCTACTTTAGATTAGTCTTAAATTAGCCTTAAATCTTTGTTTTGAAAAGTTTTATTTCAAACTGTTGTAATTTTTGTTTACTCTTTTACTATTTTTTTTTTATTTTCCAAATAAGGATACAGATATCTTCAATATTGTAACATATAGTTCATCACTTTATATAGTCAAAATTCCCAAAACGTAACCTATCTTATATAGCTTGTGTATCTTAAACTATATAAAGTAAATTACAATGGTAATTGATACACACATTCAAAAATACTTCTTTAACTAACCCTTATATTGCTTCCTTTGCTTTAACCAGTGATAAAAGCAGTTGTCACTCCAAAGGTTATCACTGTACCAACCATGCTTAGTAACGAGGGAGACATATTTCCTAGTTTGGTTACCCATGAATTCTAATTATCTTGAACTACTAAAAGCTATACCATTATTCAAGATAAT